ATAATATGAATAAAGTGTAAAACTACAAACAAGAAAATACGGAAGCACGAGGTCTAACTGTGCACTGACTATATCGACTAAAAAAAGAAGACCAGCCCCGATATAGTATAGAGTGTGAATATATATATACTACTGTACGAAAATATCGAGGTCGAATAACTAACTGTATATGTGGCAACAGAAAAAGACAAAAAGAAAAGAATTGCGTGGCTGTATAGTCACGCACTAAATGTATGGTCAATGAAAAATGAACAAAATAGAGAAAGAAATGGCTGACTACCTCGAAAGGTCATAAAAGTTCGTGTAAGGCTAGAGATCGAAGAAATGAGAGCTCTGTCTTAACATTGTCCTTTAGTTGCGTTACGATAATTTCCTGGATCGAGTTTATTTGTGCGTCGCAGTCCTATCAGCCGTTATTAGTGGCGTAGCATTGAGTTGTTTATTTTTAATATTTGCCCAGCTTACTGCGGTTTTTTCTAGCCGTGTCGCTAGTTATTGTCATATTCCGGAAACCGGTCATACGAGTGCATTACCATTAGAGCCTTTTAATTCTAAAATTTATTCAAAATTGTTAATTTGCGCGAGTAAGTCTGTTAATTATGAGACAGTTTGTGCGAAAATCAGACAATAGCGATAGTAAAATTTTTCTATGTCCCGCATTTCGTGCGCCGTTTGAGTAGATTGGCAAGAGCAGTCTGCGCATTTTGGTACATAAGTGAATCTTAGTCTATGTGGCCTCGATGGTTTATTGTCAGTTTAATTTAAGATGTATTTTGAACGTACGGACAACGGGACTTTTCAATGTCTTTTATATATTGATAGACTACAATTAGTTGCATGTTGTTTTATAAAATTTGCGACTTCAAGTTGAATCATTAAGAAATCATCTCAGCAACAGCAAGTAATTGGTCTTATTTCACCATCAAAAAAAATGTGAACCTTTTGTAATAATTGAATATCTCAAGAACGATTTGACTTGTAGGGCTGCGATTTGCGGCAAAAAACTAGGAATGAGCTGTGCCATTTAGCTGTATAACTGAAATTAGATTTAGAGAATGTCGATTGTGCACGGTTGGTCGTAGCTTATTGCAATGAATTTATATCCATGCTTGTCGAAACGTTGCAAAGTTCAGTTGATTTTAATAAAAAAATAAAATATGAAAAACGTTCAGAGTTGTTATTAAACCTAACTTATTCATGTTAAAATGTGCAAAATTCCGTAACGATAAGACCAGAGATAAGAAATTTTTTATTTTATGTTCACCTACAGTAGGCCTATAACATAATCACATAGGAAAATCAAACTGATTTGAAAATTTTACCATCGCTCGTGTCTCGAAAATATACTCTTAATTATTATTGTGTGTCTACTTCTAAATTCGTGCAGTACTTGCCTGTATATCGTTTACTTGTGGTTATCTGCGGCATGTTTGTTTCACATTATCTTGTGAAAGACAAACATTTGAACTACGAAAGAAGGTTTTCAATTCCATATTACACAAAGTAAATATATATAAGAAAATTTAAGTATTGAGACTCATACAGTTTGCTTTTTTATCTTAGAATATGACCTTTTTTGATCAATATAAAACTAGTGAAATGAATACAGTTCTGTTTGAGTACGTGTAACTTCTATCGGTGATGTTTTCTATCACCGAGTTTTATTTCCATTTAGTTACATTGATAAAATTTACGCTTGTACCGGAACTAAGTTGATATTTGTGATCGAAACTGTGACAGTATTGACTTCCGGCTGTACAATTGCATTTATCGCCAGTTGGAAATTGTCATTAGTTATGATAACAATATCACCAATTTTAATTGTAGTGACAATGATCAGTATCAAAGTATGATGTGAGCGTTTTCTAACTAGGGAATTAAGTTTATCTTTTTGATTAAAGTTAACCGGAATATTCACAAAGAAAGAATTAGAAACGTATGCGAAAGCGAATTCGGTTGCACAAGAAGTTTTTAGTTCGATACGAACAGTTTTTGCTTTCAATGGTTCACGATACGAACAACAACGGTGAATATATAATATTAGTCAATCTTCATACACTTTTGTCGTTTACTTTTGCCATTTTAACAATAGCTATTCAGAAAACTTGACTGCAACGAGAAGATGTGGTATACAAAAAGGAATTATCAGTGGTCTGCTATCCGGTTTTATAATGTTGATATATTACGTTATTAATGGTATTGGATTTCGTTATGGTGTAGTAATTCTTCATGAAGACGAAACAAAAAATATTGGAACACTTTTTATTGTATGTGGCATATATCTATCGATTACATAAATAAATATAGCATATGATGTTGTTATTGTTGTTAATAGGTAATCATATCAATTACTTATGGTATATATTATTTGAGTTCAATAGTTCCACTTATCCAAATGATATCAGAAGCTCGTGTTGCTGCTTATCGTGTTTGGCAGTTGATCGATCAAGTAAACGCAAGTATTGCATAGAAATGAATTAATAAGTTAAAATTATTATTTTGTATAGCCGTTAGAATGCGATAAAATATCGACGAAACCATCCTTAGATATTATTTTAACTGGAAACATTGAGTTTGACAATGTTTATTTTTCGTATCCTACGCGACCAGACTTCGAAATATTACATGGTATGAGTTTCAATGTTAAACGCGGGGAAACAATCGCATTATGTGGTCAATCTGGGTCAGGTTTGTCAATTTTCTTTTGATAAATCCCAACAAATCGATCCGCAGCTTGGTTTAGGTAAAAGTACTTGCATTCAGTTATTATTAAATTTGTATGAACCAACATCGGGTACTATTCGAATTGATCGATGTCCGATTCAAGACTATGATGTCAAACGCTTGAGACAACAAATCGGTGTTGTTAGCCAAGAACCAGTGGGTAGACAATCTTCAAATATAAAATACAGCTATATGTATTTGTTTGTGTTGTACGCAAATTCTTCAGGTACTATTCAGTGGAACACTTCTTGAAAACATTGCGCTAGGTAAGAAGAATGCAGAGGGCGATGTTCCTTCACTCA